GTGTTGGTAGTAGTGGGTTTTCTTTTCTCATTCAAGTTGAAATCTTCCCAGTTCTTGTGTGACAGCTGACTTTCCACAGAAAGCTGGACTTTTTGGTACTACGTTCTGAGACTCACGATCTTATTAAGTGTTTATCTTCGAGGTCCCTACCCTCGGACATCACTCTGATGGGGAAAGGGATAATCTCTCTGTGACTGGGGTTCAGGTTCCCCATTCAGCCTTCACTGCTATCTGAGGAAAGAAACTGGAACTCCTGGCTACTGCTCAAGGAAGGTGGAGGCTCAGACCTTCCCCGATACAACGCTGGCCTGGAAGAAAAAGGTGTCTTGTGACTTGTTTCTACCGCTGGGTAGTATCAAGGTCCTGAGTGTCCAGGAGGCTTCCTCTGACCCTGAGCCAGCACTGGGGCCCCGGGCTCCATCCTGACAAGGACAGAGGTACAGAGCCCCACTTGGCCTTTGTTAGTGGGAATGGAAACAGGCTACAGTTTTCCTCTGGTGCTGACCTAGAACACAGCAGCTACTGTGCATTGTTTTGGTTAAAGTTTTTTGTCTTACTAAGCTTTGGCTAGAAAGAATAGACTTTTGTTTAGCGTGTTTTGTTTTGTCTTGTTTTGGTCTGCATCTCTCAGTTTACCCAAGTTGGCCATTTCTCCAACATCCAATCTCAGACATACAGGGCAAAAAGAAAACCCGAGAACTCACCACCTTGTAGTTCCTCGGGTCAGCAGCTAGCCTTCCTTTTTCTCTCCACTTTTCAGCAGCCTTATCTTTGTTTTCTACGTAATATCCAGAGTTTGTCCCTATTTAGCGGAAGGAATAGGGAAAAGGACCGCTACTCCATTTTCCCAGAAGCAAAGGTACATTTTATTGTCACATGATACCTTTAAAGTCACTAGATAATATTCTGGCCACACTATTTAGATGAAGTACAAATAGGAATCCTTTCGGGTTAAACCAGTTTAACCAATGTTCCTTAAATGAGAAAACATCCCAATATTGATGCATTACTTTCCCAGAAGACACTGCTTGGGTACCTTCAGGAAAGCAAATGCCAATCTTTCAAGACCCACTCAATTTGAACAACTTCCACCAACTTTTCTACTCATATTTTAACTACAAAATAAAACTCTCGTTTTTGTCCAATGCTAACCTAAAAACTGCCTCATCAGATAAAACATCAGAGAAAGGTGGGAGGCTGCCTCATTACAGAGTGCTCAGGCACTACACATAACCAACAGCGGCGGGCTTCCTACATCCCTTACTTGCAAAGCAACCTACTTAAGTTGCTTTTCACAGCGTAGCAGTACCTTTCACGGTCTTCTGTGTGAGCACTCATACACAGGAGGACACTCTGGTGACACTTAAACCAACGCATTAACTCAGAGCGAAGGGGCAAATCTTCGTATTATCGCTGTAGTATTCAAGATCGTGTCCCTGTCAGCTTTTTTTTAAAACTCCTTTTAACTTACAGGAAGTTGCAACAATAGTACAAAGAGTCCCATTTACCCTTTGTTCAGCTTCTCCCAAGAGGGACATCTTCTATAGCCATAATACAATACAAAAACCAGGAAACTGATAATTGGTACATTACTGTTAACTGTGCTATGGGGCCCTTTCACCTTTTATAGGTAAGTCATTTTATACAATAGTGAACTTTCTCAGAAACACTCTGGCTTTTGAGTGTCCTGCTACCATCAAATGACCCATCCAGACTTCCAGTGCAATTACAAATTACCTATATATAAGCAGTTCTTATACACAAACCATAAATATACTCCATATATTCATATCACACATACACAACACAAAATTCTGCAATTAAATATGCAAAAACCTGTATGAAATAGCAGTGAGCCATCCTCCCATTGCAACACAGTCCTTGCGCTCATTTCTTCCTTCCCCTGCTTTTGTTACATGAGGACCACGTGTAAATGAATCTGAAGGCTCAAAGAAATTTGTAAAAGTTATCTAATGTGAAAATACATCTGATGTTTGAATTCCCTCTATGGTATTCCCACTACTGATCTTCAGCCTTCGCTTGAATCTCTACTGACAAGGAGCTCATAAGATCTGAAGAAATCCAGCCTGCCTTTTTGACCAAAGTACTAGCTATGTGAGTGTGAGTGTGTGGTGCTGGGGATGGAATACAGGGCCTCACATATGCTAGGGTAGCACTCTACCACTGTGCTATAGTATGGTATAGTCCCAGACTCGAGATAGTAATTCTTGAAAAATACTGCTTTTTTTTTTTCTTTTCTTTTCTTTTTCTTTTATTTTTTCTTTTCTTTTCTTTTTCTTGGGACAGGGTCTCCCTGTGGCTGGCCTTGAACTCACTTATGTATCCTAGGCTGGCCTCAAACTTGCAGCAACCCTCCTGCCTCAGCCTCCCGAGTGCTGGGATTACAGGCATGTGCCACTATGACAAACGCAAAAAGTATTTCTAATCATAAGCAGAATTCATTGTTCTTGAGTTTGTACTATTATTTAGTTCTAGCTGCATCCTGTTGATGATTTTGACAGTCAACTTTCAACACTGACTGCCTTCCTCCCAACAAAATCTGGCATCCTGATCTGTCTGAGATAATCCTACTGCTCCAGTATAGTCAGTAAGCCTTTTCACTCTGAAAGGTTAAAAACATGACACAGTCCCTCTATCCAACACAGCCCTCAAATATCTGAAGCCCCCACATGGCATTACCAGGTTGAACATCTCCTTGTTTTTCAGCTGCTCCTCCTAGGATATGATTTTGAGGGCCTTCATTGGCCTGATCATTTTTACAAATGAATGCACAGAAGCTTACTTATTTTCCAAGAGCCTTAATGCTTAAATTCCTTGTTGCATAACTACATTAATGAAGGATTTTATAATCCCAACTAAAGAATAGAAAGTTATTTATTTCTCTTTGAATACTAAACCAACACCCTTCTGGGTAAAGAAACCTACTGAGAAGTCACCTTGTATGATAATAAGTAGCAGTCTCACATTATACCAGTAGGTGTCACTCTAAATACAATATATTTTAAATTATTTCATTTATTCAACAAATATTTATTGGTACACATTGTGTGTCATATATTCCTCAGTATAACAGAAAGGAATTCACCTTGAACAACAATTCCAATTTTTAAAAATCTACCTACTCATGTTTTTAGAGACACTGTATTATAAATTCTAAAAGATTATGTGCAAAGCTTATTAATTCCCAAGACACATATTTCCTTAATTCTACTTTAAAAAATGTCATCTGCTAAATACCCACCACACTTCCCAGGTTAACAGAATGAAGAGTAAGGAATCAGGTAGTAGTATACAGCTCAGGAAGCCTCCACTGACAAAAGTCTCTCAGACAGACCTGCATGCTCATTAGCAGGGCTTCCAGGCGACTTGAAGCTTACAGCACAGCCATGAAAGGTCACATCGTGTTAAGGAAAAATCTCAGAGAAGGCAGAAGCTGTGCAGTAAGAAAGCAGAGTTAACTGCACAGAAATCTGAGTACTAACAACTACTCCATTACTATTTTGTTTCCATCCACTCTCAAGCAGGATGTTTTCAAAATGAAAAGGCTGCAGAAAAAATGGTTGGAACATTTCAGACTCTTTAACAACAAAAAAGTTCAACTACATTACTTAGAATTCTTAGATTCAAACTTCCAACATATAAATTAGAGGAAAGTGATGCCTGTGAGAATAAAACAGAGCTTCATGAAAGATGCTGCCTAACATTCCCTTTAGAATACCTCAAGCCATTAATTACTGTCCAAATTAATTGCAATGTATTGCATATTTTTGCTTTTAACAAAGAATCACATGTATATTTAAGCACACAAGACATGCTCAATGAACACAAGAAGTGTTACAGATGAACATCAAGGTGTTTCAGAAAAGACGTTTAATGATGAAAAAGATACAGATTAATTTATAGCTTAATATTAAATAAGGCATATTCGGCTGGGCATGGTGGCACAGGCCTATAATCCCAGCACTTGGGAGGCTGAGGCAGGAGGATCGTTGTGAGTTCAAGGCCAGCCTGGGCTACAAAGTGAGCTCAAGGACAGCCTGAACTGCATAGCAGAACCCTATCTCAAAAAGACAATAAATAAATAAATAAATAAATAAATAAATACATCAGGCATTTTCTTTTACTGTGATGGTAAAGTGGTAGAAGATCAAACACATTTAAAACATGGCTTTCTGTCTATGGATCTGAAGTTACAATCATAAACTATCAGCAGGCACAGTGTTGTTACTAATGGGTATATCCAAGATGTCCCCAAACTTGCACATAATTAATGGCAGACATCTGCTAGCTCAGTATTGTCTATTGCAAGTATAAAAGAGCATGCATATGTGTGTGTGGGGTTGTGTGTGTGGTTCTTAGTATACTAGAAAAAAGCACAGTCTGGGATTCAACAAACAACACAGTCTAAATCCCAGTATTCCCCTAATTGAGCTGTGTGACTTTGGGACAAGATACTTAGTGTGTTTAACAACTTTCCACAAAGATGCAAATACTGCAATTGGATTTTGAGAAGCATTAAGCATAAAACATTAAGCGTATTAAGCGTATTGTTTTATGCGCAATGCCTACTGTCAGGTCTGACACACAGTAGGTACTCAATAAGTGGTACTCAATGCTGCTTCTGCTTTCCGATCATTAGAATGCCTGTACCAATAAATGTTGAACAGTACCAACTCACAAGTTTAACTAATACAAAATGTCTTCCTGCTATCCCACTTTTATAAAATAAAACCCCTTACTCAACTGAATGCCAACAAATATGCACCTTCTCCTTCTGCTCAAATATATTTTGCATGACCTTACATGAATTGCTTAGATAAAAGCTTTTTCTCTTCTGCTTTTGTTATTTTAAAGTGCAGATGCATTTGAGTCATTTTCTCCTTTTGTTTCATATCCTTAAGATCCCAAGCTTCAAAGACAGAATGTCAGCATGCAGTCGGATTTATGACTGAACTCTTGAAGAGACACTGAAGAATTACCTTGTCAATCACCCCAAGGACTCTGAAGGCCTTCAGCTCCTCGGCAGGGCTCCTTAGGTTCCAAGGGGGCCTTGAACTTAGTGATCCTGGAGGCTAATGGAAGATATCAAAGATTACACATCAATCAGGGAGGTACTTGAAGGAAGACTGCCTGCTGAAGCAAATGCCAGGCCAAAGGAAACTCAATTTATCATAAATCAGAGAATGGAAAGATAAAAGGAGGAAGTTTCTGTTTGTCTGTAATGCAAAATAAAAAAATCAAAAATAAAGAAAATCAAAAAGAAAAAGCAAGAAAAAAGTTGCGAGTAAATAAATCATAACATTGAAAACAAAAATTTTTAAAGAAACTTTAATGAGCTGATATAGCTTCTACAGCAATGATTCAATTTAAGGCTACACAGCTGTCAGGAAACTTTGTAAGCAATGGAAAACTGGGCCGACACCAGTTGCAAAATATATTAACCCCAGATGGCTCAGCAATACTTTAGAAGGGGGAAACTAACCAACAAAGAATTAATGGGTAGACCTGGGAAAGAAGGGGCATGAGCCATCCTCTCGCTTCATAAAACTATAGCTGCTTAAGGCTACTTTATAAATTCATACAATACGTCTTCAGATGAATTGGCAGATTCAAGTTCCATCAGAAAAATTACCAAGGGTGAAACGTTAAGAAACTCCATTATGTAACCAACAATTACCAAAACTGAGGCTGTATAAGAGGCTTTACAAGAGAAAGAAATTCTCTGAATATCTGTGATGTGGAAAGCAGTCCGTTAACTACACAAAAGACCTAATTAGGATCAGTAAATGTAGGAAAGGGTAGTTCAGTGACACTCACAACTATAAATAATCCTAACTTCCATTTATGGTTTTAGTCTTCCCTTTTGGAAAAATAAGCCATTAAATTTTTTTAAAAAAAGAAAAACTTTCTCTAAGGACACCTCCATTTGGCATTTACAACCAGAAAGCCCTGCTATGTTAACTCTTCCATTAAAATGACAAGACTGCAAAGGATAAAGAGACATAAACCTTTATTAGATGCTTAGAGCAGATCTTATTATCAAAACTCTATCAGAACACAGAGGAAACATTTTGATCCCATGAGTGGAAGACAAACTATCTTCACTGATTAGTTCCATGAGGACAGTACTACTAAGGCACCATTTCAGATACTGCTTCAAGTCCCTGTATGGATTGGCTTGACCAGAGAAGGCCTGTTGGTGGCAGGAAGCGTATTCTCCCCTTTCACAGTGAAGATGCATGGCTGGTGCCTGGCACGCTGCTGGAGTCTGGTCAGCTGGAAGGAGTGAGGGAGGACAGAGATGAGGAGGAGGAAGAAGAAGGGACCTAGGAGGAAGGCTGTTGGCATAAATTAGCACTTACAGCTTGGAAAACTACCACCTGTAAAATTTGCTACAAGTGGCAATCCTAGTTGCTTTCCATTTTTTTGTTTGTTTTTAGAGTTAGCAAGCAAATTCTAATTGCAGTGTACATAAAATGGTAATGTTCAAAAAAAGACATTCCTCATGTTTTTAAAGACATGAGAAAGTTGGTATAATGGCAACTGGATCGTATGCTAATAACCTTTGAAACGAACTCAATGGAGACTTTTTGGCTATGTCTAAAAACATACTTATTTAATGTCTTCTTTCACAAGGTACTAAAAAGCTTAAAATCTAAGGGGAATATTCAAGGATATAAGAGCATTTATCAAGGTATTTCAATACTGTACATGTAAACAGACACAGAGAAGAAATGGTTTTTCTACCTTAATTTACACTGTATTATTTCATCTTTATCCCTTGCCCCACCATAACTGTGGTGCATACAGGAAGTTCCTGTTATGGTCCCCTTTATGGTTTGTGCCTAATGTACCCCCAAACCTTCACTCAGTCATAGGATTTTTTTCAGAGATGGCTAACGGATTCATAATGCAATGCTGGGATTAAGGGTGGGTGACTGCTAGATCAGTCCTCTGCTTGGATTGGTACTGCCTTAATCTTGGTAGACTAGACACAATATAAGGGACAGAAAGAGGCCTGTCTCACCCTCTCCCTTGTTGCTTTTTCTGTCTTCCACTGCCACAAACTGTTGCCCCTCCACCTTGGAGCCAGTTGATTATGGACTGAACCCTCCACAAACTGTGAACTAAATAAACCTTCCCTCCCTTAACTTTGGGCACTGGGTATTTTGCCTCAGCAACTACAGAAAAGTAACTAAGACAGTCCCCAGCTGATGGATAAACAGAGGGAAGCTCAGAATAGTGCGGGCAGAACCTCAACTCCTCCCTCTAATGCATGCAGTTTTCCTACCACATAACACATTCACAGAAGCAAAGATGTCACTGCTGCCCCTGCTGTTGCTGTGCCTTATTAAAAAGGAGTGAGAATGGCTTGGGATTCTGGCAAAAGCAATGTGTGGCAGAAGTTATGGAGCACAAAGAATACTTCATATTTCATCCTTGAGGCTTGTCTTTGAATCATGGTCAAATGCCTCCAACATACCTAGCTCCTATTTAAACCTTTTTATTCCCTGAGACCACCGATCTTTCAGTTTCCAAAGAAATTTATGTTCTTAACGATTTCAGCAGCAATGAAAACAAACTACAAAACTCTCTACCATTCCTTTTAACAAATAATTACTCCACACTTACTACGTGCATAGTAGCTGAAAAGGATACAAACCATCAAACAGCATGAGTGGTCCCCAACTTCCAGAGGTTCATATTTATTTGAAGAGATAAGCCAGGTATAATGAAAGGTTAAACAAAAATAAAGCATTCTCTTACAATACAGGACTACAGAGATAAGTTCTTTGTTGGGATATAAAAAACCGGTCTCAGAATGAAGTGGTACTAAACATGACTTTAAATGCTACGTAGAGCTGGGTGTGGAGACACTCATCCGTAATCCCAGCACTCTAGAGGCTGAGGCAGGAGGATCACTAAGTTCAAGGCCAGCCTGAACTGCATAGCAAGATCCTATCTCTAATAAAATAAAGTAAAATAAAATAAAATAAAGAAAACCTATGTGAAAATTAAGTGAAGAAAAGGACAGTACATGTAAGAGTGAAAAGGTACTGGCCATGTGGAGAAAAAAATATTCGAATTGGAGAATTGCAGAAAATAATATTATGTACTCAAGGTCCACTATTATAGGTCTTGAATGCTAAGTCTAAAAGTTAAAAGCCTTGAATGCCAAGAAGAAATCCATTAAGTATGAGAAAGAACCCAATGAAAACAGTGACTCAGGAGACTCCTCTTGCAAAGACAGGAATGGCAAAAATGTTGTAAGGGAAAGACCAAAGGCAAAATGATCATTAAACTTGTCTTTCTACTTTAAACTTCTGTAAGTTTTAGATCAGAGAAATGAACAAAGAAAGATCATGCAATAAAGTCATCAATAAGAAAATCTTGTATTTCTTATATTTAGCACTTAAATTGGGTAGAATTCTATAGATCTTTTCTTCGGATGGTGAAATCCAAAGAATTTTAAGAACTAACAGAATTTAGAGATCAAGCCCAACAATGGGGAGAGGGGGCTTTTTTAGGCTTTCCCCCATGAGAAAACTGAGAAGCAGCAAATTAAGCAATCTGGGCTGACAAAGTACAGAAAGAGATAAGGGGATTAAATCTTTTTTTTTTTTTTTTTTGGCACCGGGAATCGAACTCAGGACCTTGCACTTGCCAGGCAGGCGCTTGTGCAGCTGAGCTGTATCCCCGGCAAGGGGGATTAAATCTTACTCATAAAATACTATCCTTAGGAGTAACTCAAGCCCATGTTTCACAAGAGGGGCCAACACAGCTGACTGCCTCGGTGAAGAAGGTAAGATTTCTCAGCTGTATTTATTAGCCTCTGTAATAGATGATATTGAGAGAAGAAAGAGTGGTTACGTTCAGCCCAGACTAAAGACAGCAGTAAACAGAGGAAGAGACAAAGCCTGCGGTGGCAGTGGCAGGAGCAGGGGCGGTGGCGGTGGTGGTCCACCCCACTCTCCCAGTAGCAGACATCTCTGTCACCCCAGCCTCACCCCACAGTGCTTCACAGCCTCTGTCTGTAATGGCACTGGAGTTTAGCACACTCATTAAAACCTACTTACTAGGCTAAGTGAAGCTTTCCTGTGTTTCTCCTTTGAGCTTTCTTTTGTTTTTTGTTTCGTTTGTTTTTGGCTTTGCTTTTGAAGTTGCTGTGTAGCCTGCCCTTGCCCGCTTTCATATATTGTTCCCTGTTCTCCCTGAGCACCATTTCTAGGTTACCCATCTATTGGTGCCATGCTTCTCAAACTGTCCTGCATGAACACTTCACTTGAGGGCCTTGGGAAGATGGAGCTTCGGGCTCTGGGGGCTGGTGGGGCCTGGGTCCTGCGTTTCCAAAAGATGCCCATGTCCCACTGTTTCTGGTTCACAACCCCATCTGGACAAGACTAACTACTGCTCCTCAGCCCACAAGATAATCATCATTACCAGGGAAAAAGCAGTAAGTAAAGAAGCCCAAAAGGAAAACACAATAATAAAGAAAAGTACCAAAAAATCAAACTCTTGAAATATATCCCAATACACCAGACTTGCTGAACGTGGCTTCCTCCATAGATTTTTCACTTTGTATCTACAGGCCCCAATACCCAGGCTCCCGACTACAGGTTGATTTAAGGATATAAACTAGTGTTATTTTATAGATGGGGACGATTAAGGGTACAAAAAGGGACTAAGAAACCGCCAAGAATAGGCAAAAACAAACAAACCATGTTATTCCACTCTGGCTAGTAGGCTAAGATTGCTCTTCTTTCCACCAATAACTTAAGAAAATTACTGATAAAATTCCAGAAACCAAAATTCTTAAATATAATTAGAAATAAAGCTGAGTAAAGAGATAGCAGAAACTCACTAAAGGAAATATAAAACAAAGCACAGGACACACCTGAGATCCACCCTCCAGCTGCGGGCTCCTGCAGCGGCCAGAGATGCTTTCCACCCGCAGGAGATACTCCGCGGTCCTCCTCTTCACAGCTTCGCGGCGGGTGGGGCTGGACTCACCTGAGAGAAACAAGAGGCTGGCCTGGTGACAAATGCACACGCCTTTTAAAACCAATCTGAAAATTAACTTCCATCCACCCTACTGACTTCAATGAGACCTAAATATTACCCCTCAAGAGTTTCATTTATTCGAATTCTGACACTCTATTTATGTGTATTGAGAACCTGATGCATTTTAGAAGGAGTCAAAGTGCAGTAGAAAGCTCTAAAGATAAAAGGCCAGGCCTAGTCCAGATACTGTCTGGACAGCTGTCCACCTCAAAACACAGGCCCAGACACCATGGATGTTTAAGAGCTGTGACTTGGAACTGGTAAGGGTAGGTTATGTGAAAGTACCATAGAACCGGAGGATAATCTACATGGTGTAATTCTGAATTCATACTAATTGATTTGTGAGCACCATGATTTTTGTTTAGTTTTCTTTTGTTTGTTTGTTTGTTTTTTCTGGTACTGGGAATCAAACTCATGACCTTGCGCTTGCCAGGCAGGCACTGTACCACTGAGCTAAATCCCCAGCCCCACCATGGTTTTTTCATTAGCAACAAACTGTCACTCATCTTACAAGTGAAAAGGGAATGTGACTGAAATCCCTGTACTATAAAGTTAATGAAAGACAAGTCGTTTACCCTATTTGGGTCTTGGTTTCCATAGACAAAAGGTATTCAAAATTGCCTCTAAGAAACTCTCAAGAACTCAAGAAAGCCGTGGTTATGCCCATGGGTTCTCTCCCTTCCAGAATGGTATGATTTTATACATTTGATACAAATGACTAAGACAACATTTCATCTGAAGAAAGGATTCCATGGTAGAAATTCAGAGTCTGAAAACTCAAGTACTACAGGATCTCTAAATTTCCTTCTATTAATACTATTATTATTGGGGCTGGGGATTTAGCTCAGTGGCAAAGCGCCT